AGCTCTGGGAAGTGTGAACAGAGAGGGGGATGGGTCTTGTCTGTCTGTCTGTCTGGGAGTTTAGTCCAAGCACTTGGCTCCACGCTGTAACTTCCTTCTTCTTGAAGACATAGAAGTTTTATTTTTTTCCTTTGGACAAAGACAATTAACATGTGTGTCATGGATTGTCATCTGCCTGCCTGGCTAAAAGGGTGAGGTTTCTGTCTTTGCAGTCTCTTTAGCAGATTACTGCCTGGCATGTGCATCAGTCTGGTTTAATATTTATTCAGTAATAAAACTGTTTCACTTTTGTCCACATTTTGTGGAGAGGTCGTATTGGCTTGGCAGGAGGTTTTGTTTTTAGTGATTTCTCCAATGGTGTACTTTTGTTGTTTTATGATCTGTTTGTTGTGGTTGCTGTTATTATTTTTATTAAGTATGAAATGTCCCATTTCCTTAAGTACTAAGTTTGACAGTTGATACCTCTGATATTTCACTTTGACACTTCTGATTTTATTTTTATTGTGAAGGTACATCCTCTGCCTTGCAAAGGCACATTTTGGCTTGTGCTTATATTTCCATTTTTTTTTAAAGCAATTTTTGTGAAACCATGAGTATATAAGCTACTTTATAAGTTACATCGGTGGCATTATTTCCAGGTCTTATTGCTGCTTGAAAGAATTGTCTTTGCTTTTGCTTTTCATCTTTTAATTTCTACAATACAACCTTTCATGCCTCTCCCTCTAATTTAAAATATTTGTGGTCCTTATGAGTGTTATAATGCTGATGAGCATTGAATTTCTTTAATGTCAATATTGCAGTATCACAAAGCAAGCAAATCATCTTATCTTTAGCTGAAACAAGATAATATTGCAATTCCCAATCCTCATTAAAAAATCTGTTTTCTTCCTTCAGGGTTCTCTTGATCTTCTTTGACATGATGGGCTGTTAAGCAGACAGAATTAGAAAATGCTATCGAGCTGTGCAACTATTCACAAATTCCACTTCAAACAGAAACAGAGTGCACTGTTGTGAAAAGCTGATAACAGACTGGCATATTCAACCCCCATAAACTCTCACCAACTAGCCTTGTGCAGTAGTGGTGCCAGTCAGGTGGGGGAAGTTAGAACTAAATCATGAGCACAGCAGCCGTCAATTTAGCCCTCATGGCTTACTAATGTTCTAATTCTGTGGGTCAATCTGCGAGGATTATTTCACTGAAATTTATTTTATTCTTTGGTATTTTAAGTATGTTCGTTTTAAAAATAAAATAAAGGCTGGGCGCGGTGGCTCACGCCTGTAATCTTAGCACTCTGGGAGGCCGAGGCGGGCGGATCCTTTGAGCTCAGGAGTTCGAGACCAGCCTGAGCAAGAGCGAGACCCCGTCTCTACTAAAAATAGAAAGAAATTAGCTGGACAACTAAAAATATATAATGGAAAAAATTAGCCGGGCATGGTGGAACATACCTGTAGTCCCAGCTACTCGGGAGGCTGAGGCAGGAGGATCGCTTGAGCCCAGGAGTTTGAGGTTGCTGTGAGCTAAGCTGACGCCACAGCAGTCTACTCAGGGCAGTAGAATGAGACTCTGTCTCAAAAAAAAATAAATAAATAAAATAAAAATATAAAAGACCAACAAAAATGTATTAATAAAAATAAAAGGATTTGTTCTGTAAAATTTGGATTCAATCAAAAGGCCACACTTATGGACCTAGATGGCCATGTCTGGTCTTAAGGCTGCAGGTTCCCCACCCCTGGGCCAGACTCTGTAAGGATGACTGCAGAGTGGATTGTATTCAGAGTGAACATGAAGCCACTTTCCATTTCACTGGTTCTTAAAAAGAAAGAAAAAAAGAAAGAAAATGAAGCCATTGGAGTTTTGAGCAGAGGAGTGACATGATCTGACTTGGACAACAGGGGGCGCAAAGGCAGAAGCTGGGAGACAAGTTCAAAGGCCACTGCAATATTGGGGACAAGAGACACTGGTGGCCTGATAAAAGTGCAAGTGATGAGAAGTGATCCAAATCTAGGTGCATTTTGGTGAACTGATGTGGCCTTTGGGGACAATGTCCTTAGTAGGTGCTCATGGTGATCTTAATGGTGAAGGCAAAAGAGGAAAGTCTGGGCCAATTCAAAGCCTCTAAAGCTCAAGGAATAGATCTAAACTCCTGAGGTTCTGGACTCTGTGTCCCCAGTGCCTGAGGAGGCCCCAGAATCTCAGGCTTGCAAGACCCAAATTGTGGTGTTTGGGTCATGAGTGGAGGGTTGAGCTGGTGTTTGGCTCCATGATGGATGAGAAAGGCTTTCCATCCACCATACTGGCCTGGGATGGGTGCCGAGCAAGGTGCCTTCTGAGGATTTCTACCTTATTCTGCACAGGTTCCCAGAGATGAGCAATCCAGCCCCACCCAAACTCCTGGAACTTGCAGCCCACAGCCTGCTGAGCAACGAGGCTTCAGTTATACTTGCCTTGGAAGAGTTCACAGTTGACCTCTTCCCACCAGTGCTCACTGCCGCGTTTGCCAGGGGGCAGAAGAAGGCTCTGAAGGCCCTGGTGGAGGCCTGGCCCTTCCCCTTTCTCCGTTTGGGCTCTCTGATGGTGCAGTGGCCCAACCGAGACAGCTTGCAAGCTGTGCTCGATGGGCTGGCGACCTCCCCTGCTCTCAGGGCTTGTCCCAGGTAAGGGGGATGCTGGGACCAAAGCCTCAACACAGAGTCAGAGGGAGAGTGAGCGGGGATCGAGGGGGACAGATGGGGACTCTATGGGTTTCCCGGTTAAGGGCATTAAGAAGTATGCTTTTCCCCTGCTAGGGATTCCAGTGCAGCCTGTGTGAGGAACCGGGACTGGGAAGGGGCCCAAGCGCAGCAGGAAAAGCCCCTTTGAGAGGGCGGGCTGGGTGGGCTGGCGCTGGGGTCCGAGGAGCGGCCCCAGGCCACTGCTGCTCATCTTACCTGGGTCCCCAAGTGGCAGCATCTCACCACACCCGTCTCCCCACAGGCGGTCGAAACTGAGGGTGCTGGATTTGACCCTGGACTTTGAGCAGGTCCAGAGTAAAGGGGCCTCTGAGGCCTTGGCCAGGTTCCCATTCTGGTTACCATCAGCAGTCAAGGCAGAGATGCCCCAGGCTGGGGCCAGGCCCAGGCCAGCAGAGGACGCGAGAAAAGGACCGAAGCAGCCATGGGAACCAGTGGAACTGCACATTGATCTGTTCCTGAGAGGCCCCTTCAAGTTGGACACGTTCGTCTCCAGCCTCCTGACCAAAGTGGAATGGAGCCGGGGGTCCCTGCGCCTCTGCTGCAGGAAGCTGCACATCGAGGAGATGCCCTTCAACAGTCTGGTGGGGATCCTGCAGACGCTGGAGCTGGGCTTCATCCAGGAGCTGGAGGTGTTCGACTGGTTCCAGGCGCTGTCGGAGCAGAGCCTGTTTGCCACGCAGCTGGGGAGGATCTACAACGTGCGCAGCCTCAAGCTGGCCTACTACCACTGGGCCTTTCCCCCCCGAGGGCGAGCAATCCTCCAGCTGCTTCCTGTCCCAGCTCAGCAAGCTTGGCCACCTCCAGAAGCTCCACCTGTCCTACTCCTACATCTCAGGCAGCCTACACCAAGTGCTCAGGAGAACGGATGGGCAGGGGCCTCCACAGAGTCCCCGGAACGCCCCCGAGTCAGGTCAGGGCAGGGAGCGAGACAGCAAGTGGGGCCCATTCTTAGGTATTCATGGAATTGCGGGTGCAGCCTGGGCACCTGGGGTTCATTTTCTTTCTTTTTTTTTTAAGATACAACCCACACAGCAAGCACCCAGGGTTCAGATGCAGCTGTTGGCTGGAATCTGCTTTGGAACACAGATTTGGTGGGGAAGAGGGCAAATTGCTAAAAAATAAAATTACAACAAATTTCATTTAAAGATCTAATTGGCTTTCATTTGTGACTCTCAAATTGGGGAGGCCTCCCATTCAATGAAACACAAGAGCTCCGATGGTCTAAGCAGAGGAAATTGGCTTTATAGGCAGAAAAGGGCTGAAAAAGGTAGAAGTAAGGAACAAAAAGCAGATTGTTTCAAAGTCACTTTTCTTATAGGAAGAGAAGAGGGGGCTTCCTTATCATGCTGGGCCCCGTCTGGTTGGCTGCTGTGACTCTCCTGTTTTTTGGAAAATTGACCAGTTTCGAAGTTCAGTTGGCACTTAGCACAAGTGACTCCATTCTGGTTTGGTCTGGTCTGTTGGGGCCTAGTGCAGGAGCTTAGTCCAAAACAATGGGCTTTGTTTTTTTTTATTTACCGACATGTTTATTTACTCAACAAATATTTTGGGGCACTGCTGAGTGCTGGGCAGGAAAAAGCCAGACACAGCACAGCTCAAGCCTGTCCTCCTGGAGCTCATGCTGCCCCAGACAGGTGGGTGCAGAGCCTGGCAGGACAACTGTGGGAGGGAAGCATCTTATTCGGCACATGTCCCCTAGAAATTTCCAGGTGGGGCATTCGGCGCACCCAGGCCAGCCCTGGTTAACCAGAAGCCTGAGCGGTAGCTCCCCCAAACCCAAACCTGAGGAATAATGGGCTCCCCCTGTGAATTCCTCATTATCGAATAAGCTCTTTCTGTCCAAACGGCTCCTCAGCAGTCGTGTTGGGTACGTATAATGTGAGTCTCCACTTCACCGAAGAGAAACTTAGAGTCGGAGGGGTTCAGGGAGGACTTGGTAGGTCTATTGAGACAGAGCCAGGCCTTGGGACACCAAACAACCTGTCTTTAAACATGCTGGTAAATGGCGTCCCAGATGAGGAAGTGGCCTGGGGACCGGCCCCTTCGCAGGCAAGCAGGTGTTCAGGCGGAGTGCCTGGGCCCTCCCCTGACGCAGCTGCACCTTCTCTCCTCAGGTGCCTGCAGGTCCCACTGCACACCCTGGAGATCCGCTCCTGCACGCTTCTGGACACCGACATCACCTACTTGTCCCAGAGCCTTCACGCCACCTGCTTGAGGAAGCTGGATCTGAGCGGCATCAACCTGTCCTACATGGTCCCTGGGCCCTTAGAGACCCTGCTGGCAAAGGTCTCAGGGACACTGCAACACCTGGACCTGAACCACTGCCAGCTGAAGGATGCCCACCTCAGTGCCATCCTGCCAGCCCTGTGCCGCTGCTCCCGCCTCAGCTCCCTGGGTCTCTCCAACAACCTCGTGTCCAGGGCAGGCCTGCTGAGCCTGCCGGAGCGCACGGCAGGGCTGGCGGAGCTGAAGCGGGTGCTCTACCCCATCCCGATTGAGTGCTGCGTGTACCTGCACGGCGTCTCCTGGGGGCCTGTGAACAAAGGCAGGCTGTGCCAGATGCAGGCTGAGATGCAGAAGCTGCTGCAGGCCATGCAGCGGGCCGACATGCAGTGGAGCCCCCCGCTGCCCTCGCCCTTGCCCATGAGGCTGATGCAGCTCGACTGGGGCCGAGGCAGGGCCCGGGGAACCGCAGTCAGAGGGGGCAGCTGGAAGCGTTGTCGGGGCCAAGGACTTCCTGTTGGGCACATGTCGTTTGCAGGGAACATAAAGGAGACTTCCACGGGATTGGTCTGGTGCTTTCTTCTCTTCTGCCCCATCCACAGCACAATACCTGGCCCGTTGCAAATGTTCATTCAGTCCATACGTTACCGTCAGGTGCCAGGGATGGGAAGACCCCAGAGGCCCAGCCGTCCCCGGCACATACTCCCTGTACTCACCTTACTCTTCAGGGCACTCGCTCAGCTTCTTTTTCTTGTCTTTTGCTTCTGGGCAGAATGAAACAAGCCCTAGGCTGACTTCCCCACCTAAAGGCATCACCTGTGCGCTGGAGGCCTGAGCAGCTCAGGGGTGGCTGGGAGCGCGGATGAGATGCACGCACAGCACAGACACAGCGCACGCAGACATCAACCAGCTGGTGGCCATGGAGCGTGTGCTGGGGCCAGGCACTGCCCCCCTCAGACTGGGCATGCAGAAGGCCTAGGACACAGCTCACAGTGACAGCAGGGGCACATCTGGTTAGCAAGTCCATAAAACAGGGCAAGATCAGAGAAGAACTGGGTTACCCTCTTTCACGCACAGTGTCACATGTGGAGGGCCAGCTCAGGGACCATACAGTAATCTCAAAGGCCTGTGAGTACAGCATGGTAGTTTTTATGTTATCCATTTATTTAACAAGTACTTGCTAAGCGCCTATCCATTGGCAGATACTTGTGCAAGGGCTGAGGATAGAGCAGAAATAATGCAAAGTCCCTGCCGTGGTGGCGCATACACTCTGCAGACACACGGCTGGCGAATGCATAGCATGCTTTCAGGCTGGGATGGGGCCAAGTGAAGGGAGCGAGGGGCCCGCTGGTGAGGCGGGTGGAAGGGGACAGTCTGAGATAAGGCATCAAGCAAGGTCTGTCTGGGCAGAGAGGCTGGGTCTGGGTGGCAACAACCTGTCCTGCATGGTCATTTGGGCAGAGCCCTGAATGGGGACAAACCCTCCAGGCAGAGGAACAGAAAATTGCATGTTGGAGGAACATTGCCGTACAGAAAATCTGACCGGGGGCTTGATGCACTGCGCCCTTCTTTGCTGTGCTGAAAATTTAAACACTTTCTCAAACCTCGACTCTAGTTAACAGCCTCCAATCCACACGCCTCGCTCCTCTCCGACGCAGCCGTGCAGGCGTGTCATTGCAGCCGTTCCATGCGTTATCATCAGAGCATGGCATCCGCACATATGAGATGAAATCCCATTGCTTCCTCTGGTGACACGTCTTTCCTACAGTGTCAGGGCACCGGAGCTGCCTGGCCCACGTACACAAAGGAGCCAGAGGCCCTGGGTTACATGGCTGGCTGTGACTCAGACTCACTTTCTTCTTGTCTGCGTCAGTGTTCCCATTTAGTCAGGTGTTGGAGGATGCTTGCTTCCAGAAGTATCTGTACCAATTCTCCCCGAGATCATAAGACCTTCCTGCTGCTGCACAGCCACTCGCGCGCTTGTGTGAAGGTTCCCTGCAGTCTGGGCTGAGGAACAAACCTCAGCCTCTGGGTCGGGGTTAGGAGAGCTGACGCTACAATCTGTGTCCAACCATTTGTGCCTCAGTTTCCTCATCTATGAATTTAAGAATTTTGAATCACATAGTTAATCATAGTCCCTATCATACATGATTACACTGTGTTAAATGTTACATGTTCAAGGGACTTTTCCAAGGTCCCATTGCAAAGAAGTAGTGGTCGGTGGCGCCTGGCTGGGAGGCTTGGTGGGAGAATTCAGCGAGATAGTCCCATGGAAAACCTTCGGGACAGTGGCAGCCACACGGGTCTTTTTCAGTAAGTGCTGGTTTCCTTCCCCGTCTTGGTGCCAAGTGGACAGTCCACTCCAGAGTGTCCCTAAGAACAAGAAGCAGGTGCACAGTGTGCCAGCAGGCCTCATGTCAGGCCTCAGCCAAGAGAAGAAAAGGGCCTGGCGCGGTGGCCTGTAGTCCCAGCACTTTGAGGGGCTGAGGCGGGAGGATCACTTAAGCCCAGGAGTACAAGACCAGCCTGGGCAACAGAGCGAGACCTTGTCTCTATTTTTAAAAAGTAAAAAGGAAAAGAAAAAAAGAGAGGAAAAGAAGGAAAGAGCAGAGGGAGAGTAGAAAAAGAAGGTGGGGAGGGAGAAAGCCAAACATTTCAGGAGGATTGGAGGAACAGGATGGGTTGTCCGCCACTGCCCCAGCTATTCCCCATTTCCAAAGCACCCTCGCTGCCCCGGCCTGCAGCACAGCGACTTCCACACACAAAGGCACAAGTACCAGCTCTCCAGAGACTCACAGCCCAGGAAGCGGACGGTGCCTGCACCCCACACACCCTGGAACACCCCTCGCACCATCACCGCAGGTCACTGTGCGTCCTGCACCATTGGGGTCTTGCTCGTACCATTTGGCAAAGTCAGCTTGGGGCACATAGGGAATTATTTGAGTAACGGATACGTGGATGGGCTGTCAGTTAACCCCCGATTCTTGATCATTGCAAACATGAATCCAACACGATTATCAAAGTAGCGGTGGGCAACCCTTGATAGTTTATTCTGTCATACACTGTGCTATGTGTTTTATACACGTTTTCTGAGCTAAGTATCACACAGAGGTCACTAGAAAGTAAATTCCAGGAGGCCAGGCATTTTTGTGTGTTTCAATCACTGCTGTAGCCACAATGCCTGGCAATTGGTAGGTGCTTAATAAATATTGGATGAGTGTGAGAACAAGGGAAGACCGAATGGACAGAGTTTCCTGGCATGGTTAATGTAACATGGCGCACTCCTAGGCTCTCATAGCTTCATAATTACTGCTAACATTTTCATCTCCACATTTTCTACTCATCCTCCTTGACATTATTCCTGTTTGTTTATTCTGCCACGTGAAAGGCATGGTTGTTTAGTCATATCCCAAAATTACAACTACTCCGAGTACTAATTCTTTTTTTTTTTGAGACAGAGTCTCACTCTGTCGCCCTGGGTAGAGTGCCATGGCGTCAGCCTAGCTCACAGCAACCTCCAACTCCTGGGCTCAAGCGATCCTCCTGCCTCAGCCTCCCGGGTAGCTGGGACTACAGGCGCAAGCCACCACACCTGGCTAATGTTTTGTTTCTATTTTTAGTTGACTGGTTAAATTTTTTTCTATTTTTAGTAGAGACAGGGTCTTGCTCAGGCTGGTGTCGAACTCCTGAGCTCAAATGATCTGCCCACCTTGGCCTCCCAGAGTGCTAGGATTACAGGTGTGAGCCACCGCTCCTGGCCCAAGTACTAATTCTTAACAGAAAATTATGTATAATTTAAATTGACACCATTCATCATTCTATATAGCAATGTGGTTTGCTTTTCTTTTTATTTCACCAGGTAGAAAAAATTTACTATTGATCTTGGCCCCTTGTTTATCACTGAGACATCCTTAGATGTTTAGTGGAGGCAGGGAGGAAGCGTCTCTTATGCAGAGAATTCATTTTTGCCCCCGCTTATTTATATGGGCGTTTTGCTGGTGTTCACAGAACATGCCGGCACATTCCGGTAGTTCTTCAGTTGTTTCTTTGGTGCAGAAAAGGGTGTAAAGATGTGTTGAGCCCAGGTCACAGGAGAGGGTGCCAAGAGCTCTTTCTCCAGACACCCTGCGAATCATTTGGGCTTCTGTGACTCTTTAAGCCCCATCCACTTCCGGGGGTGGGGGGCACTGTGACAGATGTCCCCTATCAGACAGGGGAGGAGGATGGCCACAGCACACAGCTGGTGAATTCAGTGTTCCTCAGTGCAGTTTTTGTTGCCATTTTATTCAAACTGCAAAAAGTAATTTTGAGGTCTGCATAATATTCCATGATACCAAAGCACCACAGTTCATTTAAGAATTCCCCCAGTCCTGAGGGACCGCCGTCCACTGGCAGGCTACCGTGTTGGACCTGACCCAGCTGGCACCTTCAATTTGGAGTCACCATTTCAGAGGCTGCTGGGCAGACAGCTGGAGGAGATGGAGTCAGGCTGGCGGTGGTGTGCACGTCAAGCCCAGTGTAGACCATTTCCCCAGCTGACCAGATCCGAGCTGGATCCCAGGTGATCCAGCGCAACCATGTGGTTCTGGATTCTCTGGCACTTTGGGCACGACTCAGACGCTGCACTGGGTCACGTCCAGTATCCAGATCCTTCCCAGTGGATAGATGAAGAGTTGGGTATCCTTCCTCATGACGAAGACTGAGAGTGTAGATGCCTCTTTATGAGCAGAGCCAGATGAGAATTTCAAGAAATTGCAGACTTCATATTATACAATAAAGTTGTAAATTAAAGCAGTTTGGTCAAGAACGAGGAGGAAAAAAAGAATTTCCCTAGTTCTGTTCATTTGAACCCATGCTGTCTCATTTGGGCCACCAATTAGATGTGGCTGCCAAGCACCAGTCTCTCTCTCTCTCTCTCTCTCTCTCTCTCTCTCTCTCT